GGGGCTGTGAGGGGGGGTGGGGTTGTGTAATTCTTAGGACTGGATGGACATAAATAGGAAACCTTTGGCGGGTAACATTGTTCCCATACATGTATTTCGGATGTGTATTTAGCGATTTGCCGGAAGTTCAGCTTTACTATAACCAGGGCAGAGTCATGGGCAGAAATCGGAGAATCCTCACAGCGCTCTTTACAAATAGAACCTGGAATCCGGCAATCTCGCTCTTCAGGTTTAAAGTAGGTTCCATGTTAAGGGAAGTCCAAGTGCTTAGTTCCTTCCCCTTCTTCTCTAATTTCTAGTGTGGGGGTCACGGTCGGTGCCAAAATCTTCTTTCTGTTGGTTCCTGAAAAACATTCCCTTTGTCAGCGTGCATAGTAAGCCGTACAATGTCCTCTGAACACATTAAAAGGAACGGAGAACGATTCCTACCCCGACATTCGCCAAAATGGGTTACTTTCGCATCTGACCAACTTTTCAGGTCCACAACCCCAACTGCAGGGTGACCCCAATCGATGGCGTCACAACAAGGGCGGTGCGGCCCACACCCGGGTGCCACCATTGGAGGGGTGACACCAAAATGACTGACAGTCATTTTGATGTCACCCTTTATGAAATGTCAGGCACTCGGTCACGGACCGAGAGCCCGACAGTTTCAGGAGAGAGGAGCATACCTTATCCCGCCGGGTGAACGTCCCCTCCTCTACTTGCCGGCGTCCATCACCAAGATGGCCGCCGGCAGGCATCAAAAAGACCAGTGCGCATGTGTGATGATTTCACGGCGGGGTGTCACCCGGTCCCCGCTCCCAGGTGACACCAATCCTCGGGACGCCACTGACCCCCAATATAGTACTTTTACCATAGGAGTCACAATCAGAATAAACTTCCATAGCTCCCAGCTGTCCCTCATTTAGAATCAAGTCCCCCTGTCCCTTTTTCCTCCTCAATTGTCCCTTTTTGGTCCAATGTATAGATCTCAATAAATAAATAACAGTGTACTGTATTGGGGGAGGGTATTGATATTGAGCAGTGACCTTGGGAAGTCAGTCTTCCCCCCGGGCCTCCTGTCTGGGGGATGTATGTCTGATCCTCCTAGGCCTGCTGTCTGAGGAGGGTAACCATGTGCTTGGACCATGGACTAGGTTCAAGGCCTATTCTGTTGAACGAGGTGAATGAGGCACCATGGAGGGACCTCAGGCTAATTGAGGTACCGTATGTGTGAAGCTGGGTAGAAGCTTGGTTCTTCTATGGTGATTGCTCCCCAAGGAGTAGGTAGTACCTTACATCCAGGGGCTGATTTCTCAGAATGCTGGGTCCACTTAAGACTCCTTTGGTGCACGGATCCCCGCCTCATCGGAGCGGTATGGATTGGATGTCACAGCTGTGACATCTGTATCCGTCCAGTTTTTTCCTCCATCGAAACACCTGAAATGACTGAACCCGATAACCCCCATAACCCCATCAGGTTACCCCCGATCTGGCACGATCAGGTCCATTGAGACAGAATTCTGTTGCGTTTGTTTTTACAGGCCTGGCCGGAGTCGGGGGTAAGCGGGAGTAAATGGATGCCCATTGAGACTACCGTTGGGGTCCCTCATGTGCCCCCTGGTAGTCAGGGGGTGCTACACTTTCATCCAACCCATATATTATTGCTTTTGTTATTTTAAAAGGCCAGTACGAAGGAAACGTATTGCGTGTTTAACCAATCATGTGCTGTACATATGAATTCTTTATGGTCTGTATAACTGGGGAGCATGGCAGGGGTATGCCCTTTATACTTTGTCCCGCTTTCTCATCTCAGAACATCGGGAGTTATGCCTAAGTCCACCTATTTGTGAAGCTCCCCAGTAGTATTTCGTCCCATGCTCAGTCCTTGCCATATAATGGGTTAAAGCATCCGGGTGCCTGAAGAATTTATTATCCAAACAACATTATTTGTGGGCAGGAAGGTGAGAGTTACACAGGATATCCCAAGAAAACACGGGACTACCCAATCGTGCTTTCTGTCTCTAATTATTGACACTAGCTACCTGATCACTCAACACTGGCTGATCAATGATTCTCCAGCAGACCAGCGCCTGGTGAATGGTCGGCCCTTCCACAGAAGCATCTGGTGGGTTGTGAAGGATTCTGTGGTTGGCTATACTTCCTTTTTTTTTTTTGCATAGAGTAGATAAGAGTCAGAACGTCTGTCAGCTTTTTATGGCTGCCTGTCACGATCTGGGATCAGGCTCGGAGTCCAGTAGCTGAAACAGCAGTCAAATTCGTGGTATAACAGGCCGAGTTCGGTGCACAAGCAGACGGTAGTAGTGGAGGAGCAGGCAGAAGCGTAGTCAAACAGGCCTAGTTCGGTACACAAGCAGACGGTAGTAGTATAGGAGCAGGCAGAAGCGTAGTCAGCGAACAAGCCGGCGGTCAGTAGCCAAAGGTATCAGCTATGAAATGGAAGACGATGAGGGTAGTCCGTGAATCAGCAGCCAAAGGTCGGTACACGGGTAGCTGTATGAGCGGATTGTATCACTGGAGGAGCAAGGAAGCAAGATAATGGCAGGAGCACAATAATCTGGCAAACAGGAAGTGCAGAGGCGGGGCTTAAATAGGAAGTTCCAGGGAGGAGCAAGAAGTTCAAAGTTCAGCAGAAACTAGGTTTACCTGAGGATGACACAGGAGATCAGGCAAGGAGCTATCCAAGGTGGCTCAGCAGGTAGAACCACTGCCAGCTACAGCAGAGGCCCTTGGTTCAGATCCGGTTCTTGACATTGTGCCTTGGTTCGAGAGATTTCCTGTCCCAGTGACTCCAAACAATGAGAGTAGTTTGGGTGTCATGAGGGCAGAAAAACAAGAGCAATAAAAAATATGTCCAATGTTCTGTAGAGCTCACCCTTGAAGGAGCCGCTGGAATAATCTGGGTCATCTCTAGTTGTCTAGGGGTATGATCTCCAGCTGCCCCATTAGCTTTCAAACCACCTTCTTCTAGTGCCCGCAAAGCTGATATATCCTCGACTCCACTCCAGTAATGCTGAATAACTTTTATTAACATCTTCACACTGGGGAGAGAGGTTATAGGGGTCCTAGACATCCTGGGTGTAACAGACATGGACTCCAGACTCACCAGACCTCTTTAGCATCTCTGTGTAGCTCCATTTGTACAGCAAATAGTAATTGGAGTAACAGATGAGCAGGAGATGAGTACAGATCCTCAGCAGGAGAGACACCAGCCATGCTCCAGAGGTCCTCTATGTTCCAGGCTCCTCCAGCAGACATCAGCTTCTCTGGTTCTCCTCCTCTGGCAAAGAACACAGACTTCCTCCATACTGAAGGCCCCAGGGAAACACTTCCCACACCCCAGCTTTCGCCCACCCCTAGGCCTCAGGCCTAGCCTGGGGCGCTGGCTGGACAGCATCCAGCCCTGATCCATGGCTGGTCCCGACTAGTCTGAGCACATGGCAATTCCCTCCAGTATCTGTACCTGTGAGGATTCACTTCAAATGGTATCGCATTCAGTACACTTCCACGCATAAACAAGTTCTTTTTAGGGCGTCCTCCCCACTTTTATTCACTCACAACTCAAGAGAAAAGTCAAATACAGGTGTCCCTCGCAGGGGTTTTCAAGCAAAGTATAATTTAAAAAAAAAAAACATTTTTCCCGTCTCACCGACTTCAGGTTGGTCCTTTAACAAAAACGTCCATTGGCCACACAGGCGGACTGCCACACAGGAGGACTGCCACACAGGTTGCTCTTTTGCCACCCAGGCGATCTGCTCCACAGTCCACCAGACACACAGTCTGGTTCTAGGGTGGGGCTGTTCTCTTAGGAGGCTGGGACTTCTTGTAGAGGCCCTAACAAGCCAGCTAGCTTCAGCTGGGCTTGTTACCTCCGAGCCTCCAGCCCTCTCAGCACTTCCCCCTAGAGGACAACCTTTTGTATAACACCTGAACCTGGCATATACATCTCTGCCCTCCTGGCTAGACCCAGACGTTTAAATCAGCCTGCTGCCACAGTACCCTATCCCAGCATGCACCACTGGTTGAGAGAAACCCAGTGATTAGCTGCTGCACTGTACATACACTCACACTCATTGGCTGCCCCACAATACAACAGAGTCACACTCCACCCAGGGGGGTACAGGCAATGCCAGACACCTAGAATTAACCAGATAAATGCCACTATAATCCAACCAGGCTGACTACAGCCCCGGCAATCACTAAATGTCTAGTAGCCACCTCACAGAAGGTGATGGGGGCTACAATTCTATCCATCCTCATTCCACTGAATAAATGCACTTTCTGTTCCCATTGTAAATATGTATAATCATTTCCTGTCCTTATAACACTCTAAAATCTCCCCAATGGGGAAACCCAGAGCGATAAAAACCTGATGGGGTTCTTCACCTTCCCCACTTTCTAAAAAACTGGTATCTCATTCACCTACTTCAACATGCAAGGCCTTAAACCTAGTCCTTGGTCCAAGCACATGGTCACCCTCTTCAGGCAGCAGGCCTAGGAGGATCAAACATACAACTGCATTCTTCCCGCAGACAGGAGACCCCGGGGAAGTCTGACTTCCCAAGGTCACTCCTTAATATCTATACCCTCCCCCAGCCTGTACCACTGGCAATAAAGTATTTTTTTTTTATTGAGGTCTATACATACTGCAAGACCAAAAAGAAGAGGGACAATTGAGGAGGAAAGAGGGACAGGGGGACTTAATTCCAAAAGATGGACAGTTGGGAGCTATGGAAGGGTAATCTGATTGTGACTCCTACGGTAAAAGTATTATATTGGGGTCACCCGGCGGTTGGGGTTGTGGGCCTTTAAAGTTGGTCAGTTGCAGAAGTAACACATTTTGGCTGAAGTTGAGAGGTGGGGCTTCATTTGACTAGGAGAAAGGACCCCCCGCCCCCCTTATTGGTACCAAATAGTTTTTTCTTGAACTATATTTTAACTGTGTGTTGGATTTTGTCACGTGTGTCTTTAAACTCTCAATGTCTTCCAACCTGCAGGTCTCTGTGGTGATGTTACAGACCGGCGCCCCTTTCCCTCGTCCTAACTGGCTGCTGTTAACGGTACGCTTGGCCTCCTGCAACCAGATCCTGGACCCTTGGGTGTACATTCTCCTCCGCCGCTCTGTGCTGCACCGCCTCTGTAGCATCTTCGTGAGAGTGGCTCGAGTGCGAGGGGGGAAACCAATCCGCTGGGATCCTGGAGACTTCCAGAGCTCCGAGCACAGTGCAGTCAGCCACCTATAGACTCCCACAGGAACAAAGTATAAACTCTGCGGAGGAGAGCACTGCTTGTTGTACATAAAGATCTTACGCAGGAATGCAAAGACCTTTGGGAAATAAAATTTGCACGCGTCTTTGGAACTTTTCCCATACATGGTTGCAGTAACCAGTGTTACCAATCAAGGAATGTGTCTTATTCTGGCCATGGACGTATGACAGCCAGCAAAACGCAAGAAAAATATACAGAGACTCTGCGGAGAAGACAACCTCTTGCTGTACAAATAGATTTTACACGGGAATGCAAAAAATCCTTGAGAAGAACAATTGGACACCTCATTAGAACTTTAGTTCTGCATGATAGTAGTCTTGAGAATGCTACAAATCAACGCTTGGGTATATAAGATCTAGATGACTTGAAAGTAATATGTTGCTGCTTGTCGCAGTCTTAAGTGGGACATGTAAGAAATGATCAAACCGCAGAAGATCCTTTTCTAACCCCCAATACACATTATTTCTTGTGTCTACTGGAAGAGCACATTAAACAGAGGACAATGGGTCATTCAATGAAGAACTCCAATCTACTGGAGATACATGTGTGACAATGTTCTTCTGAGGTTCCTTTGAGGTTCTTCTGAGGTTCCTCTGAGGTTCTTCTGAGGTTCCTCTGAGGTTCTTCTGAGGTTCCTCTGAGGTTCCTCTGAGGTTCCTTTGAGGTTCTTCTGAGGTTCCTTTGAGGTTCCTTTGAGGTTCTTCTGAGGTTCTCTGATATGATGTTTTTTGTTTTATACTCCATACACTGTGAAATTATTGCGTTGTAATAGTTCTTCCTGCATGTACAGACAGCCTCAGGGCCTACTGACATTTGACCAGTATTATCTCTCCAGCTGACCCATGGCCTGCACTACCTAGTGTAGATACTTACAACATAGCCAAACCTGACACAACGGTGAGGATATAGGTGGCTCCTTTAGCTCTTTGAGACACCAGAGGATAAAACGTAAAGCAGATCTGTCATATAAACTAAAACTAAACCATCTGTATAAAGTACTGCCACTTAAAGGTGCCTGCAAATACTTGCAGCAGACTCTTAAGTCCTGCCTTTCACGTCCAAATGCGGGGCTATTGAGATGGACAAAGCTGTGACACTTCCTGATGGTATCGAGGCTTGCCCATTTCTCTCCACCTTCCACACAGATTGCTTTTGGCCAGTGAGACGGCCATTATAGTAAAGTGCCACTGCCAACGGGAATATGTGAGAAGCAGCATGGACCAGGCAAGCTTACACTCTACAAGGGAGTGTTTGAGCTCTGCCCATCAGAATGAACCATAATTTGGGTATACTGGTAGAACCTGCAGCCTGCTTCCTGGTGGTGTCAAGGCTTACCCATTCCTTCCACCTCCCACACATTATTTTTGGCCAGTGAGGCAACTCATCATAGTAAAGGGCCAACAGAAATGTGTGGGGGGCAGCATGGACCAAGCAAGCTTTCATGTTAGAAGGGGGGTGCTGGAGCTCTGCCCATTAGAATGAACCATAACTTGGGTATACTGGCAGAACCTGCAGGCTGCTTTTTGGCTGTGTCAAGGCTTGCCCATTCCTCCCACGTCCAACACAATCCCTTTGGCCAGCGAGGCAACTCATTGCAGTAATGGGCCAACAGAAATGTGTGGGAGGAAGAATGGACCAGGCAAGCTTCTACATTACAAGGCCAGTTTTTTTTTTGGCCAGTGAGGCAACTCATCATAGTAAAGGGCCAACAGAAATGTGTGGGGGGCAGCATGGACCAAGCAAGCTTTCATGTTAGAAGGGGGGTTGCTGCAGCTCTGTCAATCAGAATGGACCATAATTTGGATATACTGGCAGTACCTGCAGGCTGCTTTTTGGCGGTCTCAAGGCTTACCCATTCCTCCCACCTCCCACATATTATTTTTGTCCATTGAGTCAGCCCATTATAGTAAAGGGCCAACAGAAACGTGTGGGAGGAAGCATGGACCAGGCAAGCTTCTACACTATAAGGGGTCAATCAGAATGGACCATAATTTGGGTATACTGGCAGCACCTGCAAGCTGCTTTTATGAG